TAGTAAGTATTATGAAGATGTTACATTATAACTGTAGACAAAAAACTTGTAGAAATACAGAAAAAAAATTGAGAGAACGGTTCAACAAACAGGAAAGGAGAAAAAGAAAAAAAAGCTTCTTGCTAAAGAAGTATGGTTCGAAATGAATAAGTGATAATATAACGCGATAAAGCCATGTGAGTAGATTTTTTTATGAAACTGGAGAAACCTTCTAAACTTACTGGACAGATGCTCATCATAGAGTAATTAGAATATTCAGTGAATTGAAATAGAAAATATTCTGTCGATCATAATTCAAAATCTCTGATCAAAATAAATTACATTGAGAACTACTCAAAACTAAAGTTTTCATATATGAGAAATTGTAGTTTCTATATAAATCATCATTTTATTCATAATTGACTTCTATCGGTATTGTTTTTGAACATTTGTTACTATTCTTGTTTGATTATTCGACGATTTTTGTTTAACACGAAAATTTATTTTCAACTGAATACAATAGATCATTGATTCTAGAAAACAATTTTATTTATAACAACCATAACCAGACATAATAAATTCTCTGATATTCTATTAATAGTATTAATACACTCATATGACCAATATTAAAAAGAGATATTTCAATTTATTAATCACATGAGATGTCTAATTCAAATTCGAATATAAATGGACATCCAGCTGCACACTACTAATTCGAAAATAAACGGTGAAATTTAGGAATAGATTTCGTTTTAGTTTCACTCTAAGATGTATATGATTCATATATAGGGCAAAGAGATAGGTGAGAGGGAGAGGTAGATTTTGGGTGAGGAGAGTTTGTCTGAAAACTATTCTAAAACTAAATCTATTCCTAGAAATAGGTACTAGTTTTTCTTTTTTTAATGTTCGTTTATATTATAACTCGAATTAGGCATGTACTCAACTATCGATGAACAAAACTATATCGTTCAGTTTAAGTATCAATGAATCCTCAACAATTCGAATTAGACATACTAGACTTTCACATGTCAAAAAATACCGACGAGTTGCAGCAGGATTCGGTGATTTTCCCGCGTCTTTCTTGCGGGATCTGATGGCAGTAATGTCCGGCTTGGGTTGCATCCGAGCATACAGAAGAACAACATTGTATGATTGAATCTCCTAACATCGAACCAGTTAATACAATATCATCAAAGAACTATATCGGCTCATTTAAAGCAAATACAATAATTTGCGGCGAAGTAACCACCTCATCCCTCACGGTGAACATGAATGATTGAATATTAATGGAAAAGATAGTTTAATATCATTTGATTTTTCAACATTTCTAAATACCTTTCTCTTATAGTTTAATATAAAATATTTGTGTGAATTCATCGAATCAACGACTACACCAACAACATTCAAACTTTTACGTAAACTTATTCAACTCGAACAGTCAGATCAAAATTAATGGCAACGTAAACGACCGTAAACGATGTAAAAATAGTAAGAACTAATGCAGTAATACACCGCTTTATGATCATTTCAGACGCCGTTTCCGATGGTCGGAACGATCATCCTTGGTATTGCATCAGTTTTATCCCAAAATATTACAGGATTATCTCACTTGAACAGAGAATAGCAATTTTATTTGGTCGGTTTGTTGATAGACAAAACCATCGAGCCCCGGATCACATATACAATACGATATTTACGTCTTCTTTTGCATCAAAAGTTCCATTATTGTATAAATTGTTTTTGCGTGATCGGGATAATAAAATAAAACAGCTTTATTTCATATGTTACTATGAATGCTGAAGATTTCTTGTTTTCTCATGGACATAGATATTCTCTTTCTCGTAGAGAAGAGTCTTGCAAACATAAATTATCTGCTTGAGTGCTTGCTAGTGTGTCCACACTGCACTGATTGATCCAAAAATTAGGTAAAGATATAAAAGGAATTTTCCTTAGAAGGATTGACCAAACGGTTATCAAGATCGTGGAATTCAAATCTAAAGTCAGTTTTTGAAATTGTTTGAATAAATAGTTTACTGGTAGCGAAGACATATCAGTTCTATGAAAAAGAGCTGAGCGAGTCTCCAGACGGATGTTACTTGTCTATATAAAATAGATAAATTTTATAAAGTTATAGTGGTTGTTATTTTTTCATACATAGAATTTAATGATTTATTTCTACATTTTATACTATTCTCTATTGAACATCGAGGTATAGTGATTAAATACTGAGAAATCACTGTAAGACATCTTATCAAACAATATCTCTCTTAGTTTGAATCCCAGATCAAAGAAATATAAAAAATTATTCATCAAAAATTTAAAACAAAAATTATACTGCCTCATATCTTCAATATGACTAAATTCATCAATACATCATGGATAAATGATTATTCTTTTCATTTCTTTCTCATTCATGATGAATATTAATTGACTGATTTGACTAGGCCATTTGTTGATGACATACTGATATATATATTACAGCTTTCTCAACTTTTTCTTCATCATACAAGACCTCGTTCAACACTATTACAATTTAATTCCATGTAAGTGATTCTTTTTTTTATTATAGGGAACACTCTCGTAAAGAATGAAAAATGTAGATATGTCTGAGAATGTTGTAATACCTTATCAGTCGACTCTTTCTGTCACGTTTTTATTCTTTAAAAAGTTGTTATCTGTACGCGCGCGTAAAACACTAGAGAATAGAATTAACTTAAAAATAAAGAATAAAATATGCTTTTATTTATTTGTTACCTATTCTTCATAATTTTTGTTTTACAATTTAATATCGTTCTTCAGTTTTTATATGCGGATGATTTGAAGGTAATGTATGTTGGAATATCTTCAGTGCACATACCCCATATGATAGTGCTTTCGAATCAAGGGGGGG